CTTTCAGGCTTCTCTTACTTCATCTTCCTTGTTGTATTGTAAATAATTTTGATTTTATTCTTAATTTTACAGATTCGAAATGAGAAGGCTAGAAGGTACCTTGGTAGCATGCGAAAAAAGCAACCAGTTCCATTCTCCAAAAAATTTCCAAATGTAGATCCATTGGCTCTTAATTTGCTGGAGCGTTTACTTGCATTTGATCCTAAAGATCGTCCAACGGCCGCAGAGGTTGGAATTCACTTACCTCGCCAAATGCACCAAACAAAATATCTATAAAATACTTACAACATATACATTGCTCCAAGTTCCTTATTTTTTGTAACGTTTGTGATTGCAGGCGCTATCTGATCCTTATTTTCACGGTTTATCAAATGTGGACCGTGAACCGTCCACTCAACCGATTTCAAAACTTGAATTTGAATTTGAGAGAAGAAAATTGGCCAAAGATGATGTTAGAGAGCTGATATATCGAGAGGTTCGATCATTCATTTCAATGTCTTGGTTCAATTTATTGTCTTCTGATTCATGCCTTGTTAATAATTTGTGGTACATTTGTACTTGGCAGATTTTAGAGTATCATCCCCAGATGCTCCAAGAATATCTTAGTGGTGGAGAGCAAACAAGCTTCATGTATCCAAGGTAGGGATTTCACGATGTTTTTTATTGACGATTCTTGTACAAGTTATAGTTTTGACTTCCGAGAAACAACTTGTGGTTAATTGTCTTTGCTTGAGTCTCATATAAGAAATGTGTGATTTTGATAATTCTCGCATAATTATGTGTTATCTGTTACGCAGTGGGGTTGATCGGTTCAAGCGACAGTTTGCACATCTCGAGGACAGTTACGGGAAAGGTGAACGAGGCTCTCCATTGCTGAGACAACATGCCTCGTTACCTAGGTAAGTTTTGGCTAAAGACGCCTAACACGGCGTGTTCTACACAAAACCTTATCTGGATTACTTATAATCTTCTCTGGCGTGAGAATTTGCTTAAGAGCAAACGTTAACTATTTCGAATTTCATTTTTTCTTTCAGAGAGCGGGTTCCTGCTCCGAGAGATGAAAACAATCATAATAATGATTGTGAAACCCCGTCCGGATCAAATCTTCATAGCCCTTCAGGTGTAACAAATTCCGGTGACCCGGATGCACAAAACGGACTGTCAAACAGCATGACACGATGTCTGCTAAAGAGTGCCAGCATTAGCGGTTCAAAATGTATAGATGTCAAACAAAGTAAAGATCCCGAGGTATTCAGCTCGCCTTTCTTGGTTAGAAAGAAAATCGTTCGAATATATACAATAATCGATTATGATTTCCCTGATTATGTTGATGACATTAGTCTCTTCTCCACAGGAGGAGACAATTCCAGAGGCCAATGATGAAGCGGTGGACGAGTTGTCGGAGAAGGTTGCCGCTCTCCTTGCATAGTTCAATCTTTGATTCATTATTTTGATCCAACTTTCACAGAGATTGTAAAAACCTCAATCCTATAGTTTTTTTTTTTGTTGAAGGAAGCAAAAAATAGATGTTGCATACAATTTTTAGTAGAAGATAACTGTAGGACTACATTGTTATAAGCTACCATTTTGTATCATTCAACACAACACAAGTCATGAGTATTTATTGTGTAACAGTAGTGATTACTACTCACTACAATGTATATTACTAAATTTTTATTCTTAAACCTCAAGCAGGGATGTTCCTAGCTGCAAATATTACTGGAAAATCTTGCTCTGGATCTTATACAATTACCTTTTGCAGTCAATTTTCGAACAATGTAATTTTTTCTACAAATTGTTCAGTAAGTATATTATTATTTCTCAACAATGTATAATATCCCTCAAAGTCAATTACTAGTACTATGTGTGAGGAGATCGACTTGCTATTTCAATTCAGGAAGAGGAGGATAAGTTTGGTGTTGAAACTTGTGAACACAATATGCATGGTAGGATTGTTTGGTCTAAACGATCTACTCCTCTTATAGTAGTTAGCTTGTGCCTCAAGTTAGTTGAGTTGTGGCCATCTATTGGTAGATGAGACATCACTTCCTTGAAAAAGGACTTTTTTTTTTTTTAGTTTTCCTTCTCCTTCTCCTGCTTGGAAGATATGCACAAAGTTCGGTCAATTAGTGTTTGGAATTTGAACCTCGATGTGTTGAAAATGTTAAAGTGCAAGACTTGGAAAAATCTCGGGCCAACATGGCAGAGATGGTTGACGACGAAAACCAAATTTATTAAAGTTCTCATAATGATGACTTTAAACTAGTGGCATCTAGGGGAAAGAACATGAAACACAACTTGAAAAGGAAAATCAATACTGAATCTAAATCTAGTAATCCAAATCTATCTTTATGAAGTGCTTCTTTTGAAATACAAGGGGCATAACTAATGACTCTTCTAGATTAGGATTGAACATGTTGATTATTGTAAACAAACCTGATTTAATTTTAACAGCAGAACCTTGAACCGGCTTTCAACAAGTTCTCTAAAAAAGGACAAACCGGTTTAGTAAAAAAAAATTCACTATGAACAATAGATCTGGTTTGCTTAATGTTTTTGCAAGTGTCACCCGAATCCTATTATTGTTTATTGTGATGAATAACATGTCTCTTTTATTAGACTTGTATCGTGCTTTTATTTTTACGTCGAAACTGGATTGGACTTTTAAATTATGTTAATGTCGGTTTTGTGCTTGAGTAGATAACTTGTTTGCATGAATGTTCATTATTTTGATGTTTGTTATTTTGAATTCGTTTCGTTGGCAGCTTCTGTTACGCATCATTGTGTCACGTGGCGTGTCCTCACGTTATCAATACATGCGAGAAACCATTATGTGTCATTACATTGTGGTCGCCACAACTCGTGCGTTATGCGAATTTGTGAATGTTAACTATATGTCTGTTACATGTTGTATGCCTGTTTCAATTCGATTACGATGAACGCATTTTAGCGTCAGTAACTTGTTACATATTTGCGTGTGATATTTTGCTTTCGTTGTCCTTACGTGCTATGCGGGTTTAAATAGTTTGTTGACGAATTTGTATTTATTTTCGTTGCATTTCATTGTGCTTTCAAAGTTTTGTGTTAAGTTATGTTCTCGTTGCGTTATTCTATGTTCCATGCCATTACGTTATGTTTTCGTTTCTCTGATTTTCATTGTGTTTTCGTTGCATTGTGATACCATTCGTGTTGGGGCGTTACAATTTGCGCCTTAACTCCTCGCGTTACGTGGACTCAATTCACGTCTTCGCATCATGTTAACTCAATTTGCACGTTAAGTGAATTCGCGCCTTAACTCCTTGCGTTAGGTGAACTCAATTCGCGTCCTCGTGTCACGTTAACTCAATTCATGCGATCCAAGATCTCAATTCGCGCATTTACGTTATGCATTTGCGTCAATTCGCGCATTTACGTTATGCATTTGCGTATGTTATCTTAGTTCGCATTCTTGCGATATGTCTTTATGCACGATAACTCTTTTCACGATTAATTCGACTTTACTTTCATTTTGAATGAAAGTCATTTTAAACCAACGCGAACAAAATGCCTGATCAACATCAAGTCGTTTTTTCACGCTCAATCAAATCATTTTCCGTACAAGCGTAAATCAAACACTTGGTCAACACCAAGTTATCTCCCCGCATAATCAAAACGAATTCAAAGTTTTTTTCATGATAAGTTGAATCTAACTCATTCCCGACAAGTTCTATTTGATAAGTTATCTTTGTCCAAAGCTTCCCTACAATCATTAAAGCTTTGAATGGGGAAGTGAATGTTAAAGATGTCAGAAAACCAGTTTCAAATGTTGCATGCAAATTGACGTTCAAAGATGTCTTATCTTTAAACGTCAATTTACATGCAACATTTGGAACTGGTTTTCTGACATCTTTAACATTCACTTCCCCATTGAAAGCTTTAATGATTGTAGGAAAGCTTTGGACAAGGAGTGGTCTTGATAGAGGGGTACAATGTTGATGTTAGTTCAATGATGACGGTAAGGAAAAATAGAAAGACAACATTGCACAATGCTGCTAGGTATGGAATTCTTCGCGTTGCCTTACGTGTTGTTGATAACTCGTGGGAATCGCCTTATGTGTTGTTGATACAACCAAAACACACAACTTCTATCCACCTATGGATCTTCATCAATTTTTTTTGGATAAATCACAACCATTAAGAGTAGCGTTGTCGCGGGGATTAAATGGAATTGGTCTCGCACTTGTAACTCCTGCAATGCAGTCCCTGTTGCAGACTCTATTGATGATAACAATCGCGGTATGACTTTTGGATGGCTTCAACTAATTGGTAATATTGGTTCGATTTTTGGTGGCCTCTTCTCACTTTTGATAGCTCCAATAACGGTCTTTGGTATCCCTGATTGGAGAGTTTCATTTCATGTTGTTGGATTAATAAGTATCATAGTTGGTACTTTAGTATACATTTTTGCCAAAGATCCACATTTCTAAGATAAAGGCAGGCTTACAAATAATAGCAAACCAGTTCAAAAGGAAACATTTTGGTCTGGTGTAAGAGCCTTGATTCAGGAAGCCAAATCAGTTTCTAGGATTTCGTCTTTCAGATCATTGTTGCACAAGGTGTTACTGACTCCTTTCCTTGGTCGGCTTTATTGTTTGCGCCGATGTGGTTAGAATTGACTGGCTTCTCCCATGGGAAAACTGCTTTCCTTATAGCTTTGTTTGTGGTTGCAAGTTTTCTTGAGGTTTGTTTGGAGGAAAGATGGGGATATCCTTTCTAGGTATCTTCCGAATTCGGAGAATAATTTTAGAACCTTGAGGACAAGATTCAAGTGAATCCGACAACATAGTTCTAGTTTATATTATTAGTTATCAATATTGTTATTGGGCTTTTCCAGTATCAATATTTAAGTTATTAGACGTATAGAACAAAAAATACCACATTTTTTACATTCGTTGTTTTTAAGGTTCATGTGTTTTCCGAAGCTGTCTGAAACAAACCGTATTGTTTTTTTCTTTTGCATGATGCTGCGTCCTTACGACAAACACCTCCTCGCAAAACAAGCACTCGTTGCAGTCATCAAAGACTCTCCATTCCACATCCTCTCATCTTCCAATCTCACATGGACTCCCGACGCCGTCGTCCAACTCCTCCGCTCCATCTCCCGTTTCTCATTCCAGTCCCACCGTTCCCTTGGCCGCCAAAACAACCTCTTCCGCCACCGCACCTTACCTCTCTCAAATCTCAAACCATACTCAAACTCATACCTAACCAACCTCGGTCTCCGTAAAGCCCAAGAATTCCTCCATTGGATCCATTCACGTTTCAACTTCCTCCACACCCATTCCACTTCCTTAGAAATGGCCATCCTCATCACCAAGTCTAACAACACCAAAGCCCTCTGGTCTTTCCTCAAACAAGTTTCATCATCATCATCATCAAACTATGTTACTAACAATCTCGTTACAACCGCGAGCATTACCTGTTTGATTAAACTCCTAGGAGAACAAGGCTTGGCAAAAGAAGCCTTACTTACATTCTACCGAATGAGACAATTCGGTTGCAAACCCGATACACAAGCTTACAACGCGTTGATTAATGCAATGTGTAGCGTTGGGGATTTCACCAAAGCAAGACACTTGCTTCAACAGATGGAGCTTCCGGGGTTTCATTCTCCGCCTGATGTTTTCACTTACACTATTATGATAAGTTCTTATTGTAGGTATGGTGTGAAGATTAGTGGTTGTAGGAAGGCGGTGCGCAGGAGATTATATGAAGCGAATAGGCTCTTTCGTGTTATGGTTTTTAAAGGTATTGTTCCTGACGTTGTTGCTTATAATGCGTTGATTGATGGTTGTTGTAAGACGTACCGTGTTGGTAGAGCTTTGGAGTTGTTTGAGGATATGAAGACAAGAGGATGTGTTCCGAACCGTGTTACTTATGATTCTTTTATAAGATATTTTTGTGCTGTGAATGAGATTCATAAAGCTGTTGAGTTTTTAAGGGATATGCAGAGGTTGAGTCTTGATGGTGGGAATGGGATAGTGGGTGGTTGTAGTTCTTACACGCCCATTATTCACGCGCTTTGTGAGGCTGGGAGAGTTGTTGATGCTTGGAGTTTTCTTGTTGAGTTGGTTGATAGAGGATTGGTGCCTCGAGAGTTTACTTATAAATTGGTTTGTGATGCGCTTCGTTTGAAAGGAGAGGATGGTTTGCTGAGTGGTGAAGTGCATCAGAGAATAAAAGATGGCGTGTTGGAGAGGTATAGGCGAACCATGAAAGTTAAACCAGTTATGACTCGCAAAGGGTATCCTGAGCTGGAATTGTTTTCTTAAGAGGAATTCATTGTTTGGGTGAAGTAAGGGTATGGATTTGATTAGGATCTTATTGACAAATATTAAAGAGTCAGTAGTCAGCCAAACTCGTACACATTCAGAATACTTATAGACAGGCTGTGTGAAGGTGGAAGACGGAAGGATGCACAAGATGTTTTTATGGATCTTTTGATCAAAGGTATACTGTCATGTCATGACCAATGGGTTCTGTGAAGATTTGTAATGGCGGTGCTGTCAAAAATCTAAAATGATGATTGTGCTCCAAATGTTTTAATGTATGAGATGGTTCTTCAGGCTCTATTTGAAAAAAATACAAGAGTGACAAGACAGAGAAACTACCTTGCGAAATGGTTGCTAAATGTCTACTGTAAGAGTAAAATGGGCTGAGATGATTTCAAGTTAAACAATGTTATTTTGAATACTGATAACTACCGTCCAATCTTTATTTCCTTTTACTTTTACACATGAAACTGAAGATGTATCAATCTATATACACTGTCTATAAAAAAAAAGTTTTATACATATTCTATAATATGTTGATATAATTTGGTAAGTTAAAATGTATGACTTGACAAATTCTTAAAGTGATGTGACAACACTTTTTTAGACAAGATATTCAATTTATTTGAAGTTAGAGGGATCAATTTCATTGTCTATTAGCGCAACTCAAATTGAGGATGAAGCAAAACTCGTTATGGACGGATCTAACACCAAAATTATTAGCAGCGCGATATAAATTTGAGACATCGAAAGAAACACACTTTTAAATTTAGGTCTTTAACAACATGCAAACTTCTAAATTATAATATGAGCTTAATGGTAGTACATTGTCAGTGTAAATCAATATTACATATACTGTTAAATATTAGCACAAAATCAAAACAGATTCTGTCATACAGCATATTATGGCTGGATTTAAATTGTAATTAAATAGTGATTAACTGTATTATTCTATTCTTACCTTATTTAGGATTAGCATTTATAGGGAGAATAATTACCCCTATTTCCTAGTGTAATCCATATTCTATAAATACCTTATATGTATTGTGTTACAATCTACACAAAATAGAAAAACATATTTCTATATGGTATCAGAGCAAAACGAATCCTTTAAGTTTTTTTTTTGTTTTTGCTTCCGCTCTATTTGTCCTTTTTTTTCTCACCCCACAATGTCTGATACCGAGTCCTCACTTTCACCCAAACATTCCTCACCCGAACCTAAAACCTAAATTAGTCCGGACGTACCATGAAAACCACCCTGTTCAGATCACAACAATTCGGCTGAACGGTGCTAATTATCTTCGATGGTCGCAATCCGTTCGTATGTATCTCAGGGGGAGGGGAAAGATTGGCTACATCAGTGACGACAAAAAACAACCCGACAAGGCAGGTGCAGATTATGATACATGGGATGCTGAAAACTCCATGGTTATGACATGGTTAGTCAAATCCATGGATGAAGAGATAGGTGCAAATTATCTCTGTTATGAGATTGCAAAAGAACTTTGGAAAAGTGTCTCCCAAATGTACCATGATTTGAAAAATCAATCCCAAATCTACGAATTAACTCTCAAATTGGGAGAAATTCGGCAAGGTGAAGATTCAGTCACCAAATACTTCAATTGTCTCAAACGTATTTGGCAAGATTTGGATCTTTTCAATGAGTATGAGTGGAAATCAACTGTCGATAGCAAACATTACAAGAAGATGGTGGATGTTAGTCGTATTTTCAAATTTCTTGCAGGTCTAAATGTTATTTTTGATGAGGTTCATGGCCAAATTCTAGGCAGAAATCCTATCCCTCCAATTGGTGAAGTTTTTTCAGAAGTACATCACGAAGAGAGTCGTCGGCAAGTGATGCTTGGCAAAAGTACAGCAACTGTCCCTCCACCAGTTGAAGGATCTGCATTGGCAATTCCCCATGTCAATCGTAAACCACTTCCTAATCAACGAGGTGGCGACAAGACTAATTTATTTTGCGACTACTGTGGGCGCAATCGCCACACTCGGAAAACTTGCTATAAATTACATGGACGACCAAACCATGGCAAGGCTGGTAAGTTTGGTGATCGTCCTATGCCTATGGCCAACGAGTCTGATTCGTCTCCATGTACGAAGGAGCAAATGGATAACCTTCTTAAGTTTCTAAAGTTCAATTCATCTCTTAATATTCCTACTGGAACTGTGGCACAAACAAGTAAGAATTCTTGGGCACTATTTGCCCACAACCACTCTAACCCTTGGATAATAGATTCAGGGGCATATGAACACATGACTAATTGCTCTCATCTACTCAATTTCTATTTTCCTAGTTCAGGTTTTGAAAAAGTTAGGATAGCAGATGGTAGTTATTCAAGTATTGCAGGCAAATGGGACATAAAAATTTCAGAGCAAATCACTTTGCAATTTGTTTTACATGTTCCTAAATTCACTTGTAATCTTCTATCTATTCATAAATTGTATAAGGACACTAATTGTTCTATTCTTTTTCGTCCCTCTGCTTGTGATTTTCAGGACCATAACTCGGGGAAGACGATTGGAACTGCTAGAGAGATGAATGGACTGTACTACCTTGATGGAATTCAGTTTGGCAATACAACGTTTTTCAGTTCAAACAGTACAAACTCATCTCCTGTTTCAGATCAAGTTATGTCATGGCATAAAAGATTAGGCTACCCTAGTTTTTCATATCTTAAGCATTTGTTTCCTGTTTTTTCCAAAGAAATAAATTCCACACAATTTCATTGTGAAGCTTGTCACTTAGCTAAAGATCATCGTGTGTCTTTTAAATCAAAAGACTATTTTGCTTCCAAACCTTTTTATTTAATTCACAGTGATGTTTGGGGTCCTTCAAAAATTAAAACTATGTCTAGAGAAAAATTGTTTGTGACATTTATTGATGATCATACACGGCTGTGTTAGGTTTATCTCATGGAAAAAAAATCAGAAGTTGAACAAAGATTTCAAGATTTTTTTAACATCATTAACAATCAAGTTCAAACCAAGATTGGCATTCTAAGGTCTGAAAATGACACTGAATATTTCAACAAATATTTAAGTACATTCCTTGTAATTAAGGGGATAATTCATCAATCCACTTGTCGCAATACTCCACAACAAAATGGTATTGCTGAAAGAAAAAATAGACATCTCCTCGAAGTTACTAGAGCCATTATGTTTTCTATGAATGTACCTAAGTATCTTTGGGGAAATGCTTTATTAACTGCTTATTACCTCATCAATCGAATGCCGTCTTGGGTGTTACAATATGAAAGTCTTGTACAAGTGTTACAATTTTTTCCTACATCTCGTATCATTATAGATCTTCCCCTTAAAGTTTTTGGTTGCCCCTGTTATGTTTACATCCCCAATGTTTTTCGTTCTAAGTTGGATCCTAAAGCCGAAAATTGTGTTTTTCTTGGCCGTGCATCCAATAAAAAGGGATATAAATGTTTTAACCCTGTTACAAAGAAATTTTTTGAAAGCATGGATGTTCACTTTAATGAAAATCAACCTTTTTTTAAAAATTCTCTTCAGGGGGAGAGTCTATGTAATAATAAAAGAAGATAATTTTTGGGAAACTTTATCTGCTCTAGATGATATTGTGACTAAAAATCACCCAAGTGCTAAGATAATAGAATCTGAAACAGGGGGAGTAACACTGATTAAGGATGATAATCCTGAAATTAAAGTGTATGTTCGGAAAAAATTCCACAAAGGTGGTGCAGGTGGTGCAAACCCTACTGTCTCTCCATTAGAAATCTAATCTGATTTACCAAGTGAAGGTCCTACAGATAATTTGTCTTCTAGTTCTTCATCTGGTAATCCTTCTTACTCATCCAATGATTTATCTGATTTGTCTTTTCCTGATATTAATCTTCCAATTTCTGTGAGAAAAAATATTCTTGACTTCGATGTCCCAATTGCTGAGAGAAAAGGTTCTCGTATGTGCATTAAACATCCTATGTCTAATTACTTATCATATGACAAACTATCACACACCCACAAGGCATATGTGTCTAGGATTTCTAATTTGTTTGTGCCCAAAACTATTCAGGAAGCATTAAGTGATCCGAATTGGAAATTAGCGGTGAAAGAAGAGATGGATGCTCTAAACAAAAATAACACTTGGAGTATCATTGATCTACCACAAGATAAAAATGCAGTAGGGTGTAAGTGGGTATTTACAGTGAAATGCAAGGCTAATGGAAGTGTGGAAAGATACAAAGCGAGATTAGTAGCAAAAGGATTTACTCAAACTCATGGTATTGATTACCAAGAGACTTTTGCTCTGGTTTCTAAGATCAATTCTGTCAGAATTCTTCTTTCCCTTGCAGTAAATTTCAATTGGACCCTATATCAATATGATGTTAAGAATGCCTTCTTAAATGGTGAATTACATGAAGAAGTATATATGAGTTTACCTACTGGATTTGAAAACAATCTTGGAAGAAACATAGTATGCAGATTGAGAAAATCCTTATATGGATTGAAACAATCGCCAAGGGCGTGGTTTGAGAGATTTGGAAGTGTTGTTAAGAGACATGACTTCATCCAAAGTCAAGCAGATCACACTATGTTCTTTAAACACTCATGTGAAGGTAAGATTGTTATCTTAATAGTGTATGTTGATGACATTATTATTACAGGAGATGACGTCAAAGCAATTAGTGATCTGAAGAGAAGACTTGAGGCTGAGTTCGATATCAAGGATCTTGGAAAGTTAAATACTTTCTTGGGATGGAATTCGCAAGATCTAAAGAAGGAATTTTTCTCAACCAGCGCAAGTATATACTCGATTTACTCGCAGAAACAGGGATGACAGGGTGTAAAGCAGTAGAAACACCAATGGATCCCAATGTGAAACTAAAGTCAGTTGCTGAAGATGAAATAGTAGATAGAGAATGTTATCAATGATTGGCTGGAATACTAATTTATTTGTCACATACAAGGACAAATATAGTCTTTGCAGTGAGTGTAATAAGTCAATTTATGCATGC